TATATTTATTTATTTATAAGTACATTTTCTTTATTTTTTTTCAAAAACTTCTTAAAATATCTTTAATTTTTTAATTTGATACCTCCAATTTTCAATTTACTACTTTATTCTTCTTTTCGACACAATTCCTTTCTTCTTCCTTTTAGTTTTTACATGTACCCATTATTTTTCTCTTGTTCTCCATTTATTTCGGTAGGTAATTTTAATTCACTCGATTTTTATATTACTCTCTTCTTTTTCACCTCTTTAATTTTTTACATGCACCTAAACCGTAGAAGGTGCACGACGGCGTTAAACTGTAGAATTGGTGCACGGCGGCCTTGTAAATACATGTGACTTTGTCGATAGTTTCTATTGAACTAGATGTACATTTTTTCTTCCGACACATTTTCTACCCATTCACACCTCCAAAAGCCAAAATATTAAATTTAGTGTTGTTGAAAATACATTCCAAAACATTAATTTCACCATTTCGGGGTACTTTTCAAAATAATGAAATTAGTGTTTCAAAAATTATTTTTCGAAATTGTATTTTTTCCATACTTTTAAAAAGTAATTTCTGGAAGTATGTAAAATAACACACTTCCGAAAAGTACTTTTTAAAATATTAAATTTACTATTTGGAATTATTTTTTAGAATTATATAAAATAATACACTTCCAGAATAGTATTTTTCGAAACACTAAAATTAGTGTTTTAGAAAGTACTTTTCGGAAGTGTATTGTTTTACATAATTCTAAAAAGTTCTTTCTAGAATTATAAATTTAGTGTTTCGAAAAGTACTTTTTAAAACATTAAATTTAGTATTCTAAAAAGTACTTTTTTAGAAGTAGGTTGATGGAGCTACTTGGAGGAGATTGAAGTTCCTTCAAGCTCTCCATGCTTAGGACCGAAAATGCTCTTGAGTTGACCTTGAAAGAGATCCGAAACTCCTTGAAGCAAGCTCCAATGGAGTAGAAGTCCTTGAAGATGATTCGGTTCTCCTTAGCTTGTTGTAGAAGCTTGAGGAACCAAGACAAAGTTTGAATAAACTTTGAGGGAAACCTAGAGTGGAAGTTCTCTACGGTTTAGGGACTCTTGATTTAGAGAGAAAATTCAGATTTCATTTCTCAAATTTGTCAAAAGTGATTACAAGAGTATAGAAAACAAATATATAGGGAGAGGTAGCTTGTAGGAGAAGCTAACCTTAACCATGGTTCACTAGGAACCATGGTAGGATTAACTTAAACTCCCACGGTTTAGCTATCTTGTAGGAGAAGCTAACCTTGACCATGGTTTACTTAAGAACCATGGTAAGGTGAGCTAACCTTACTTGAGTTTAGAAGCTTGCAAGACAAGCTTCAAAACTCAAGAAGGAATAAGAGAAGGAACAAGCTAGGCGGCCCATGGTTCAAAATGCTCCTTGAATTAATTTGAAAATCTTTGATTTGGTTTAGTTAGGTTCATCATATGATGATGAAACCTAGCTAAATCAAATCTATGAAAAATTAGGAGCAAAATGAGTCCAATATGCAAAATTTTGCCTAGGCCCAACTCAGGCCCAATTTCTAAGCACACCCTCAAGCATTGCTAAATGTCACCCCTTTTTCCCTACTGAAAAAATACAAGATGAAAGTATCAACTAGGGAGGTTAAATGGAGTTAAACTCTCCAAGTAACCTACCTCAAAAACAATATACAAACACTAGGAAAAAGCAAGTAAAGTGCCTCACAAATACAAAGGTAAAATAACCTATAAAAGAGACTATTTACAAAATATATGAAAAATGTCTTTAAGATCATCCCATTCCTCTTGGTTCTTTTAGTATATCACCTCTTGGATTCCTTGGCCTTGGCCATAGTCTATCATAGGTTAAAAACACAATTTTGAAAAATGCTTTTGGGAGCACTAATTTTACTATTTCAAAAAGTATTTTATGAAATACTAAAATTATTTGTGTACTATCTGTACCGCGAAGCCAAGCTCGAAGCTCAGCATCACAGCACAGATCAACATCGGACACGCGTCGCGTGACATTAGCCAAGACAAAGGCCCATCATCTACTGATCTCGGGCCCAAGGCCCCGATAAACCCTAATTCACACTAAGGTACGTATATTACTTATATGAGACTCATACACCCGCAAACACTAACTTTAGCATCAGAGTCTCTTTTGCAGGTATCACCCCCACTTTGGAACAGCAAGCGTGCCCAGCGAAGGAGGCTCACCAATCTTGCCCAGCTGATCGTCCCTACGACCGATCTCTGGTAAGAAAATTTGGCACCCACCGTGGTGCTCGAACCCACGACCACAAGGTTAAGATGAAAGTTACCAACGACAGACAGTTCAAGAAGGCGGCTAGGGCAAACAAAGGAGGGAGGTATGACTTCTACACCCCCTAAATGCGCCCCAAGTACACATCCTGGAAGAGGCCAGCAACAACAATCTGCTCACTCTGCCACCACCTGGACACAATCCCAACAGTGCGGACAAATCCAAGCATTGTCGGTACCATAAAAATTATGGTCACACGACCGAGGAGTGCCGCACACTCAGAGATCGCATAGAGGAACTCGTCCAGGGGGGCACCTCAGACAATACGTCCAACGGCAGCAAGGTCACAGAGAAGGCTACCACGGACGAGGACGAGGACGAGGCCGAGGTTCCAGGACTCGCACGGACCAATCCTCCGGTTCTCAGCAAAACACTGGCGGTGCAGTGCAGGACGAGGTAAGTTAGGACACAGGGTCAGCTCCCTTGCGAGGAGTTATCAATACAATTGCAGGTGGCTTCGCAGGGGGAGGCTCCAGTAGCTCGGCACGCAAACGACATTTGCACAGCATCAACAATGTCCATTCTGCCACCTCGGCCCTGCACCACAACACACCACCAATCACCTTCACCGACGACGATTACACTGGCATCTATCCAAACTAGGATGATCCCATGGTCATCGTCGTGGAGGTCACCAATTGGGAAGTTCACAAGACGTTGATCAACCAGGGGAGCTCGGCTGACGTCCTATACTGGCCGACTTTTCTAAGGTTAAACATTCCCCACTCCCTTGTCCAACCTCACACGGAACCACTAGTCGGTTTTGCAAGAGAGCGAGTGCACACCTGTGGATACGTTGACCTGTTAACAACCTTCGGGACACCTCCTAACTGAAGGAGGTAATTATGGTCAGATACCTCCTCGTTGAGGCCAATACGTCGTACAACATCATCATCGGCAGGCCTACCCTGAACCAACTCGGAGCTGTGGTGTCCACCCCGCATTTGACAATGAAGTTCCCGGGGAGCAGTGGAAAAATCATCTCGGTCAGAGCAAAACAGAAAATAGCTCAACACTGCTATGCTGAAAGCCTGAAGGTCTCGCCAACCGAGGAATGCCACAAAAGTGACCCTCCTACAGTGGCTAACATAGCCCAGGTTGACATCACTGACCTGGATCCAAGGTCGGAATCCCATGACGAATGGCCAAGTCCCATTGATGAGCTTGATAACCTTCAGATCGGTAAACTCCCTGGACAGTGTACAAAGATAAGCCGACAGCTAAACCCGGAGCTACGACAGCAAATTGAAGCCGAAATCTCCAAGAACGCCGACCTTTTTGCATGGCCCAGTGCCAACATGCCAGGTATAGATGCTAACTTTATCTGTCATAGGTTGGACATTCACAGAGAGGCAAAACCAGTGGCCTAGAGAAAACGGAAGGGCGGCGGGGGGGAGAAAGCAAGTAATCGAGACACAGAAGTTGTTGAACGTGGGCTTCATCCGCCAAGTCAGATACACCACGTGGCTGGCAAACGTGATACTAGTCAAGAAGAGCTCGGGAAAGTGGCGCATGTGCGTCCACTACACCGACCTGAATAAAGCATGTCCCAAGGACTCATACCCCTTACTGAGCATTGACAGGCTGGTCGATAGAGCATCCGGGCACGACCTACTCAGCTTTCTAGATGTTTACTCTAGGTACAACCAGATCATGATGTACCCACTGGATGATTTGCACACGTCCTTCATCACTAACCACGCTAACTTCTTCTATCGCATGAAGAAGCTTCAAGAGCTTCAAAATTTTCCTCACCACTCCGCCAGTCCTTCAAAGTCCAGATTACCACTCCGACCTCCTCCTCTATCTAACCATGGCAGAGAGCGCCATCAGCGCAGTTATCGTACGAGAACACCACAAAGTGCAAACACCGATTTACTTCATCAGCCGAGTCCTTCAAGTCGCGGAGAAGCGATATCAAACGATCGAGAAGCTCACACTAGCACTAGTCACCGCAGCTCGGCGCCTCCGACCTTACTTTCAAAGTCACCAGGTGGTCGTCAAAACTGACTACCCCATCAAGCAGATCTTGAGAAAGCCGAAGCTCGCTGGGCGTATGATAGCATGGTCAGTGGAGTTATTCGAGTTCGGCATCCAATACGAAAGTTGAGGCCCTCTGAAAGCTCAGTGCCTAGCAGATTTCGTGGTTGAACTCACCCCAACCTCAGCTGTGGAACAACAGGTATGGACTTTACACATTGATGGATCCTCCAATTCTAAAGGTGGTGGTGCAGGTATCATTTTGGAGGGACCAAATAAGGTCACCGTAGAGAAATCTCTCAAATTTGGCTTCAAGGTAACCAACAACCAAGCGGAATATGAAGCACTTCTGGCAGGACTAAGGTTGGCTCGCGACCTCGGAGCTTAGAGAGTGAGTTGCAACAGCTACTCAAAGCTCATGGTGGAACAACTCAGCGGGGCATACCAGACCAAGGACACCCTTCTACAAAGGTACTTCCATGCAGTATCCCAGAAGATCTCATCCTTCAACGAATTCATAATACACCATGTGCCTTGGGAGCAGAATGCCAGAGCTGACCTCCTGTCTAAACTCGCCAGCACAAAATGCCCCGGGAAAAATCGGACCATCATACATGAGACTTTGAACTCACCCAGCCTAGACGACAAGGTCGTCAGTGTCGGTGATAGAGCAGAACGAGGATGGATGACAGGTATTTGGAACTACTTAAAGGAAGGAACCCTACCCAAGGACAAAGACGAAGCTCAGAAGATGAGGGTGAGGTCATCCAAATTCATCATCATTGGCGACGAACTGTTCAAACACGGCATCTCCACTCCTCTGTTGAAATGGTTAACAAAGTTCCAGACCACCTATGTCGTTCTAGACCACCCGTTCAATGACGACCAGGGTACTCCAGGCTGGATACTACTAGCCCACGCTAAAGTCGGATTGCCAAGCTTATGTACAAAGGTGCAAGGAATATCGGTAGTTCGGCAATGTACATCGGAAACCACCTGAACGTCTCCACCAGATGATGTCACCGTGGCCTTTCGCCAAATGGGGAATGGACATCCTCGGACCATTTCCCCCTGCAAAGGGTCAACTTAAATTCTTCCCAGTGGCAATCGACTACTTCACCAAGTGGATCGAGGCATGTTCACTTGCCAAGATCACTGCCGAGAATGTCCAGAAATTCACCTGGAAAAGCATCATCTCCAGGTTTGGGATCCCACATTCTCTCATCACTGATAACGGCAGACAGTTCATCGCATAGAGCTTCGAAGACTTCCTCCGAGAGCTCAGAATCAAACATCTACCAACCTCGGTGGAGCATCCCCAAACCAATGGCCAAGCCAAAGCCGCAAACAAGGTAATACTGCGAGAACTCAAGAAGCGGCTAGGAAGCGCCAAAGGACAATGGGTCGACGAGCTCCCCAACATTCTCTGGGTGTACCACTGTACTCCCCAATCAATAACCCAGGAAACACCTTATAGGCTGACCTACGGAGCTGATGCCATGATTTCAATAGAGGTCGATGAAACATCCCACCGGCGTCACACCTTCGATAGTGAGCAAAACGCTTAAGAAACGGCAATCAACCTCGACCTCATCGACCCGGATTCACGAAGAAGCCTGCAAACTTCGAGCTTCTAGAAGATACAACACGCGAGTCCGACCTCGCTCTTTCCAGGTCGGTGACTTGGTGTGGCGACTACTAGGCGAAGCACGAAGAGAATCATCGGAAGGGAAAGTCGTGCCTAACTGGGATGACCCATTTTGAATCACAGATGATTTAGAAAATGAGGCGTACTGACTAGAGGAGCTCAGCGGCAAAGCCATCCCACGAACTTGGAATGCCACACATCTCAAGTTTTACTTTAGCTAAAAATGTACAAATGGGTTGTGCACTCTTTTCCCAACTCAGTCTTTTGTCCCAAAAAATAGAAAAGCGGGTTTCGGCTGAGAGGGTTTTTAACGAGGCATACCCACAATATCAATAAAATGATTCATTCCACCCAACACTTCTCAGTTTTACACCGCTTTGGCATAAATTATACCTTGTTAAGCCAAGGTCGAATTCGAACCTTGATGCAAATTACTCTATGTTAAGCCAAGGTCGAATTCGAACCTTGGTGCGAATTACTCTATGTTAAGCCAAGGTCAAATTCGAACCTCGGCACGAATTACTTTATGATAAGCCAAGGTCAAATTCGAACCTCGGCGCGAATTACTTTACAACAAGCCAAGGTCGAATTCGAACCTTGGTGCGAGTTACTCTATAACAAGCCAAAGTCGAATTCGAACCTTGGTGCGAATTGCTCTACGAAAAGCCAAGGTCAAATTCGAACCTTGGTGCGAGTTACTCTATAACAAGCCAAAGTCGAATTCGAACCTTGGTGCCAATTGCTCTACGACAAGCCAAGGTCGAATTCGAACCTCGGCGCGAATTGCTCTATGACAAGCCAATGTTGAATTCGAACCTCAGTGCGAGTTACTCTACAACAAGCCAAGGTCGAATTCAAACCTTAATGCAAATTACTCTACAGTAAGCCAAGGTCGAACTCGAACCTTGGTGCAAATTACTTTATCCCAAGCTAAGGTTGAATTCGAACCTTATCAAAATGAGGATTAGCCAAAAAGCAAGACAAAAACCACAAATGAAAAAAGAAAATTATATACATAAACGAGTTCATCAACAGAAAATACAAGTTCAGAAAGCGAGAAAAATATAAAAATAAACTAAGTTATTACAAAACCAGTGGCCTAAGCTGTGGTATTCTCGCTCGAGCTATCAGGGAGGTCGTCTTCCTTCACCAGCTGCCCAGCTCGTACCTCTTTCTCTACGTGCATAGCAGAAAGGTCGACCCCGGGCGCAAGTAACCTTGCCTGACGAGCTTCCTTGACAAAGCCCTTCTTGTGCTCCATCAAAATAGCTCGCTCGATCTCAACGAGCCTCCTCTCCATCCCCCCTTAGTCGCGGCCACCTTATCAAGGTCCGCCCTCAAAGCTATGGCCTCCTCCTCCTTGCCAGCCAGCAACACCTCGTCGTAGAGACGCCTCTCAGCTACCTCCGCCAGCTCGGCCTTCAGCACCAAGACCTCGTCCTCCAGCGAGCGCGCCCGGCCTCGAGCAGAGTTAGCGACCTCCTGCAGCTCGCCCACTTAGGCAGCATAAACTTCATTAGCCTTCAGAGCAATCTCCAAAGACTTCTGAGTTCTCGCAAGATCCCTCCTTGTGGCTTGCAGCTCGGCCTCATTCTACCTCTTGGCCTCGCCTAGAGTGGCCCCCAAGGCCTTCTTCTCCTCCTCCAAAGGCTGAATTTGGCTTCTAGCACTCTCGAGCTCCCCCTGCAGCTTCGACCACTTGCGCTTCCAATGGTCGACGATGGTGATCGACCTCTGCATGAAGACCTCCACAGAGTCTAGCCCCTCCACTGCCCCAACCTTCTCGATAATTTCCTTGTCAGCCGAGCGGAGTGAACCTCGAGGGTAGAAGGTCTCGGCGGTCACCTTCGAACTCCATATAGAATCCACATCCGATGACAAGCTCACATGATCCAACCTCGATAGGAGGTGATTCACATTGAAGCGCTGCGCGATGAATTTCTCCTTTGGAGCCCCCGACAGGGGAGGAGGCGGCATAGCGGTTGTGGGAATCAGAGTTTGGGTCACAGAACTCGATCCCTCCCCGCGAACCTCGGCGGGAGTTGAAGTAGGAGTCGCCTGCTCAGCAGTGGAGGCATCCAACCCTGGCGCCTATGAGCTCGGCTCCACCCGCACCTCGGCGGCAACTGGCACAGGCCCCGCCTACACAAAGCATGAAAATTCTCCAAGTTATTAAACAAGAAAATCACACGACGTGGAAGAAATACCATAAGAGGAAAAATACAAACCTGTACCTCACAAGCGACCTCCTCCACAGCAGCTCGGGATGATCCCTCAGGAGGAAGACTTCCAGTTAGGTCGACTGCGTCGGCATCAGCAGCCTTCGAAGTCACCTCTTTAGCATCTTGAGGGGCAGAGGTCCCCCAACCTCCTTCTCTCCCCTCTTTCTTTTTCGGCGAGTTTCAAGGGGAGAAACCTCCTCCTCGAGGGGCTCAGGAACCTCGATCTCTGCCACATTATAGCGGGCCTTCAGCTCGCGCCACTTGCTTTTACCCATGATACTTGCAAGCACCAAAATCCAACACATAAGAAAAAGAAGAAAAAGTGAAAAAACCCAACAACTAAGGGTGCCTAGGTACTCACTCTCTAAACCCCTCTCCTTGTACGCTGAATTAGCAAGCGACAGGACGAGCTTGCAATCCAAGGGACGAGGAAGCACGGCTAAATTAGCAATGGCAGCAGTATCTGAGGCCGTCAGCTGAAGACTGTTTGACCCATTGAACTTGATCGAATTTTGTTGCTAGTAAAGAGGGAACCTCGGAAACCCACCGAAGTGGAATACTTCATCCTTTAACAGGTCAACCTCTTTGGGCAGAACTCGGAAGAACTCATGTTTGAATCCTTTATACGACTTGGAGTAAAGCGAGAATAATCCCCTAGCCTTACTTTCATTCAGCGACACCCACCCCAGGGGAGGGTCACCCAACTTCAGTTTGTAAAAATGGAGAAACATGGGCAGTGACAACCCTATCCCCAGGATGGAGCACAGGACCTGAAAAGCCCTCAAAAAACCCCAACTATTGGGGTGCAACTGACAGGGAGCCGCATTGATAAAATTCAAAAAATCACACTCGAACTGAGTGAAGGGCATGCATACACCTAAATCCCTAAAGAAACACTGGTACATGTAGAAAAAGGGGGGATTCAAGGTACCCCCCATATACACACGCTCACCGGGCTGACAAGGCTCGAGCTGGATGAGCTTGGAAATAGATCCTTGGCAAATCTTGAGCGATTTCCACATCGCATTAACCTCAAGGAATGATTTGAGGATGCTCTGGAACTCTCTGACGTCCCCTCTGACCCATTCATAGCCAGTAATGACAGGGAAAGAATCCCTAGGGTTATTTCCACCCCTCTTCTTTTTAGCAGCGGCCGCCTCGTCAGCCACCGCCTTGCCGCGCGCCTTGCCTTTACCCTTGGCCGGTGCAGAAGGTGCGGCACTACTCTCCCCAGCCATCAAGAAACCAAAAGGCTCGAAAAAGGGGATAGACAAGGAAGAAAGAAGAAGGGGCCTGGTAGAGAGAAGGAGCAAAGGAGAAGGAGACAGAGAAGGCGAAGTACCTGGTACTCCCTTGACAATGACAGAACAATAACGGAGAACGGAGACCCGGTTGCCAGAAATGGCGACGACGGAGAAGGGCAGGAACAAGAAAAATGGGGACGGAGAGCGAGTAGAGAAGAGTGAAGAAGCATCGAGAGCACACCAAAGGAAAGAGTAAAGTGAATCCGAGAGGGCGCGAAGGAGAGAGAAAAAAGGAAGTTTGAAAAATCAAAAAATAGTAGTGACACGTGGAGAGAGGGGGGACAAAACTGACGACACATTAATGGGGCCCATTATGACGAAGTGCGCCCATCATTACATAACCGTCACCTCTCATTAACACGCCGCCCACGCGTTTCGGGGAACGAGGTGACGGTTATGACACATGGCATCACGATAAAGAAGCGTACGCGAAGAGTCATGACCCTCCATCGAGCTCGGCATTAACTCTTCAACCCACGGTCTTCAGAGCTCGGGGGGCTAGTGTATTATCCGTACCGTGAAGTCGAGCTCGAAGCTCGGCATCACAGCGAAGATCAGCATCGGACACGCGCCGCGTGACATCGGCCAAGACAAAGGCCCATCATCTACTGATCTCGGGCCCAAGGCCCCGATAAACCCTAATTCACACTAAGGTATGTGCATTACTTATACGAGACTCATACACCCGCAAACACTAACTTTAGCATCGGAGTCTCTTTTGCAGGTACCACCCCCACTTTGGAACAGCAAGCGTACCCAGCGAAGGAGGCTCATCAATCTTGCCCAGCAGATTGTCCCTACGACCGATCTCCGGTAAGAACAATTTGATATTGTGTATGCTAGACGTGTAAATGAGATGAAGTGATAGAAGAAAAAACATATTTGACTCGGTACTTTCGGCGTTGTCAAGAAAATCACACGTGCCTATAAGACCGTTAAAAACTAGTTTTACATCTTGAATGTGTGGGAAAACTAAAAGAGTAGAAGGAGAGGGTAATAGTATGAAAACTAAAAAATGAGGGGGGAAGAGAATAATGTAAAAAATAATTAAAATTACCTACTGAAATAGGTGGGGAGTAGGGGAAAAGTAAGAGAATGCATGTGAAAATTTAAAAAAAAAATGTGTGAAAAAGAAGAACAAAATGCTAAATTGAATGTTGGGGGTTTTAAATTAAAAATAAAATTAATAAATTAAAAATATTTTAAGAATTTATATAATTATTTAAAAAAAAGGAGGTGCACTTTTAATTATATATATATATATAGAGAGAGAGAGAGAGATTATAATTACACCGGTGTAAATTTACTAAGTATTACACCGCTCAATAACTTTATATTGTTGAAAACCCGCAAAGGGCATCTTAGGCAAAAAAAAAATCAAAATCAAAAGTTCT